CGAGCTGTCTGTTTCTGAGCGTGATTTCTGCAATTGGGTCGGGTCATATTCACACCTTAAACGAACCGTACCAGAGTTCATTTGGAAGCGGACCGAGACCACCTCTTCAGCTGGGTCTCGGTGCGGTTGTTTGGTCCGCACCAGAGTGCGATTGCTGCACCAAGAGGGGAAACGAACTTGAGTTTGATTCAATCGAACCAAACAAGACAGGAGTGAATACACCCTAAGAAACTGGAATTAATTGTTGTAAAATAATGTTTGAAAACGGAGGTGTACCTTTGGAGATGGTGAGTGCTGGTGACCACTGTGACCTCAGAATATCCAGACAAATGCTGCCATTGCTGTTGATATTTGGGTGATAGATTCTTGTGGTAAATGCAACCTGAGAAAGCAGCGAGACAAAAATAAACATGCAAATCACAACCTTTACAGGCTAACCAGTAAAATTACAGCCAACTCTAGAACAGTTCCTAATTACTGAATATTGTAATCCAAACACTGGCTTCCTTCAAACACATTCCTTAAATTCATCGATAGGATTCTCTGCATTCTACAACTGCATATGACATACAGTCATAAGATGAATTATTTTAATATATGGTGGGAGGAAAAACATTTTCTTATGTCATGACAGAAAGTACAGGTTGGTAAAACGAGGATTCAAAGTGACAAATAATTAAGCAGCACCTGAGAATAACCAAAACACCTGAGAAGCTGTGCCTGAGTCAAACAGGTGTGGATATTACTGACCTTCGGCGGTTTGAAGGGGTAATCTGTGGGAAAGTGTATGGTCAAGAAGAACACTCCGCCTTGGTAAGGACTATCATTCTGTAGGGTAAACATTTAATTAGCATGAATTATATAACAAAAATATATATCACAATTCAATAACTCAAAATGATCTACATTTACTCAATATTTCAAGACAACAACATGCTTCAAGTTCCAGAGATTCCTGTAATGTTGCAGGCTACTATAGAAGAAACAAAACATAAATACTTACTGGTCCCATTATTGTGGCCTGCCAATGAAACACTGAAACAAGACAAACAAATGTCAGAGAAAGGCTTTATCAGTCGCACCATGTTCATCATATTCTTAAAAGTCTTTTTAAACCTCAAAGAGGTATAATTCTTGTTTGCAAGTCTTTTCAGAATTAAAAGAGCCCACTGAGGAATACAGTATAAAATATGATGAAGCAAATTTGGGTATAATTATGTTGTCATATTCAATTCAAGTCTCTGAGGCACTAAGTGGGTCAGATGGTTGCACGAGTCAGAGTTTAATAAAGTGGTGACTCTTTTGAGGGAAGCTATATGTGCTGTTTGTCGGTTCAAACTAGGGCTGAACGATATTGGAAAAAAACTCACATTGCGATATTTTTTTTGTTTTCTGCAATATATATTGCGATATGAAAAAAAAATCAGATGACTTCAATAGCTCTATTTGGAAAAAACAATCAGTGATTGGGGTGATTTTGTAGGCGAGTAAATCAGCATAGGAAATAAACAAATTACAAGCATAGATAAATAACAGAACAAAGCTACAAATGAAATAAGCAGTGCTTTATATTTTTCAGGTAAGTCTAACAGTATTCAGGTACAGAAATGGAATAATCAAATGTAAAAAAAACACTGAATAGTTTTCACTATAAATTAAACCTAATAAATCTATTTAAGCTACAAAAGTGATTTTTCTTTGCGTTTTGTTGTTTAATTAACGTTCATGACAGAGAAAGCAAAAGGAACATTAAACTGCTGTGAACCAATATACTGTTACACATCCATTTTCTTTCTCATTTGTTTACCTTCACCTAAGCCATAAGCAACTGCGTTTACTAGGATACTTGCAGAGCACAGTATTTCAAGCACAAATAAGACGCGGAAGTGACCGAATTTTGGTGTTCACGTGCATCTGCGTGGCTTTCACCGTGTCTACACCGGACGCGAGCGACGCGACAAAATACTATAGAACCCATTTTAATCAGTGATGCTGTGTGACTGGCTACACTGGATGCGGCACGACACGACAAATCCCCGACAGTAAACTGATGCCTTGTTTATGACGTAGGCTACTGACACAAAGTTCAAGTGATATGCAACGGTCGCTTTGTAGCGTCCAGTGTAGACAGACTTTGGGGCCGTTCACATGTCGCGCCTAAAACGCGTGGAAAACGCCAGCCGCGCCGCATTCTCTTTCTTTCCAAGAGGGCGGGAGGTTGCGCTTTTGTGGCGTCTGCCGTTGCTAAGCGACCGTGACCTGTGCTCTCCGCGACAACGCGGAAGTGTCAACAAAGGATAAACGGATTTCCAGCACTGAAAATCCCTTGCAGTAGCCCTGCTACTAAATGTATTTAAAATGGGTATCTCTGTTCAGTTGTTGCGTCTGGTGTAGACACCGTGTCTGTGTGTGAACAAAGAAAACAATCAGTATAAATATAATGATTAGTATACTAAACATCGCACATCCTGCGATGTGACTATCGCGGATGCGCACATCGCGATATCGATGCTGAAACGATATATCATGCAGCCCTATCACAAAATTACACCCCGCCCTCCCAAAAAATAACTTATAATTTTTTTACTTTTTGGAGGGGTTTTCCCCCTACCTCATTACACTTGTGGCGTTACCGATCAAAAATGATCAGCCAATATAAAATTGCTTATAAATAGGGTTGGGAACCGAGAACCGGTTCTTATTCAGAACCGGTTCTGTTTTTTTTTAATTCAAACAATCCATCGTCTTGAGGTTGAGCTTCATACTTAATATTGATGAACACCATCCATCACAGGACACAGAAAACATAATAAGACCGGAAAAAGCACTTCTGACAGTATGTTTGAAGCCACTATGACATTCAGTTCCTATAAGTTCTGTATACACAAGACACCATGAAGAACTAATTCTATTAATTTAACATGCTAATAATAAAATCATATCTATGCTTTAGAGACTCCACTGTTTAAAAAGTCAGCAGAAAGGTGGTGACTAGTTCTTACACCACAAGTATTTCTCCTCAAACTTAACGTACATACTTAAGAAGAGGTTTCTACTATAATGTAACTATATGTATGTGTGTGTGTATACACATATACATATTATATATAAACAAAGAGCAATTTTTAATGCAAAGAAAGTAAAAACATGGCAGACTTAGGAACTTATGATTTGAATGAATTGGCTCATGAAAATGAAGCGGCTCCCTGATGCCCGCAATTTATATACAGTATAATTGCCCAATGATTGATCTGCGAGAGAAAATGCTGAAATATATATTTTCCTCCCATCGCATATTTATTCCCTTTAGGGGTTCCGTATTACACATCATTTTCTTTTGGAACAG